TTGTTAACCAATCCAAAGATTGTAAAGCTGAGAAACCTGAGCTGTTTGAAAACTCTATAAAAACCCTGCAGACAAAGTGTTCTGGGCTCTTTCCCTAATCCACTGCGTTGGATGCGGTTAGAGACCTGGCTCGAGCTTGAATAAACAACCCTTATGTATATACATTGGTGTATGGCTCCTGGGTGGTCTTTGGGGACCCTGAATTCTGGGCATAACAACTGTAGAAGTAGATGCAATGGGACTTACTTATGGATTGTATGTGAATGTTGAAGTATGGTCAAACCAAGTTTGACACCCTGATTTCTGGCTTAAGCATCCAGGTCAAATGTGGTACTATGTCCATAGATGGAGGGATGGGGGAATAACCGGTGAACATATTCTAACAGACATCCAAATAAACAATTCATGAAGCCAGTTAGAGGCTTCTAGATGAACATGAACTGAACACATGCAAATATTTCATCTTCATGAAGCCCCTCAAAAAATAATATATGAATTCCTACTATTTATTCTTATTTATTTCTTAGTGCATATCAAAATGCACTTCCAACAGCAACAAGTCATAAAAATCAAAATTTTCATTAATTTTATTTTTAACTTAGTTTTACAATAAACAGAAAAGCAGTTGTTAAAAAAATACCTTAGCTGTCAATTTAAAAATTTAAATGAGATTTTTGTTAACCAGAGCAATACTATACCCTATAATTACATCTTTATATACAAGAACTGTGTGCAAAGTGCTTTTTAAAACTATAAGATACAAATGGTTGTCCCTAGGAATTAGTTACTTCTGACTGCTTTTAATGAATCACAACTGTTTACATTCTGAATTTTCACTTTTATTTATTTAAATACGAAGAGAAAAGCTACCACTTTCTGATACCAGACAGATTTCTAATTTTTTTAAATAACGCCTGATCCACCAGAATAAGCTTTATTTTTACATATAATTCAGTTAGGTAAGCTTCATTTTTTTTTTCTAAAAAGTATCTACAGATCCTTTTAGACAGGCATATATATTGATCAAATGGAATTTAAAATTTTTTAAAATACAAAGTTACATAAAAGAAAAATTGGGGGAAATGTATATTGTATCTTCACACTTTTTTCTTCAGGCAAACAAAGAACTTCTGTCTATATAAGGTACGGATTACCTCTTTCACTCATTTAAAATACTCTGAACACATAATGCTAACCTCAACATTGTACATTATTGTTGCTGATAAGTGTCTTCGTGTCAGTTCAGACTCATAGCAACTCTGCATAGGGTTTCTGAGGAGCGCCTAGTGGGTTTGAACCACAGACTTTGCTGTTAGCAGTCCATTGTACATTATTAAAAATGCTTAAAAATTATTTGCTACAAAGCCTTTGAATCAGAGAAATATTTATAGTACAAATAAATCTACCGTATGTTTATGCAAATAATGTGCATTATGTTTTTTTCCAAACTGCATAACTCCCTTGTGTGTTCATTTTGTCTGTATGATATTTGCATTATATGCCTGCACCTATTATTTCCATGTGCGTGTTATATGCAAAAAATACCATACAGGAGGAGGGAGTATTTGAGGTACACAGGAAGAATAATTTCCTAAATAAGGTCATCAAGGATCTAAGTCAAAGTCTTCTTAGTCTCAATGTGGGGTGGGGTGGAAAAGGAGCTAAATTTCCATTAGTTAGTGGGGCCTTATCATACGGAAGCTTCTGTCTTGCTAGCTTGCAAATCCTTCCATTACCCCTGTGAAGTAGGTATATCTCAAATATTATACCCCAAAGGAAAAACTGAGGCACTAAGAGGTTTGAAGTCCAGTCTGTGTAGTTTTCCAGTTGCAGAAAAGTGCTTTCCTTTTTGACTTTTGTAAAAACAGTACAAAGAAGTTTTTATATTATATTTCAAAGCACCCTATGAAGCAGAAACTAGTTATCCTCAGTTACAGAAAAATAATTACAAAATAACTGTATATGATTGAATTGAAACCTTATTAATGGTTTGTAAGCTCAGAATACACTTCCATACCTACGTTAAGTCCAGTCTCCATCATTTTCATTAGTAGATTATGTCTGTACTGTGAATCATTTATAAAAGCTAAGCCTATGACATAGAGCTCTACTTCCTAACAATGCTGCTTGGACACTAGAGTCAGAGTAGGGAACGCCCAAGAAAGGAGACAGAAATTAAGAGCTCTGGGCAGCCCACAAGTAAACTGTGAAGAAGGCTCTTCTAGCAGTTCCTTATTCCTTGCATGGCAATTCAGTGACTAAGGTATAAAGTCGATTTAACCTCATTTGAAACTCACTCCTGGTTTGCATTCATTCTCATATTTAATTTAGAAAATTAAAATATCCACTTGTAAGTCTGATCTCATTATCACAACTGTAACTTAGAAAGTAGCTTATACTTCTATATGGGAGATAATCAGGTAAACATGTTACCAAACAATAATTAACAATGTTCCATAAGTTCAAGGGTAGGGTAAATCTGTGTATGCTACTTATACTCAAGATTGATTATTCAAGTATCAGTAAAATTAGTCCTTAAAATGTTATCATTGTAGTGCAAAAAATATACATATATGTACACAAACCAAACTACTGGACAACAGAAAAAATGTAATCATCACAAAATAAGACTTTCTTGTGAATTCACAATCCATTTCATTCCAAGACCATTCAGATCCAGTAGTCTTCTTGAATAAAATACCATTTCTTCAGTTTAGTTTTCTTTAAAAAGAAAATGAAAAACAATCTCCTATGAGTATAAATGCAATCTAAATATAGAACAAATTCATACCAAAGAATTTTCTGAACAATATAAATTCAAATTCAAATACCATAAAATTTACAAATGTTAATTACTTCAAAACTACAGTAAGTGCTAAAATTAACAAAAAGTTATAATAAAGAGTTTAAAAGAATATTCTTCCTTTCATATAGCTTCTAGATTGTTTTTGGTTTTGGTTGTAGGAAAACATCTTTATTGATGAACATAAATCAAACTTTGTCTCAACATAAGCAGAGAACATACAGAGAAGACTGAAATGTGTCAGCCAACGTTAGATGGGTTTAAGTTTATCTACTAATAGTATAAGTTGTTGTTGTTGTTATGTGCTGTGGAGTCAGTTCCGACTCATAACAGCCCGACTCGTAACCATGGAGCAAATAAAGTGGGCTGACTACTAACTTAAAGGTTAGTAGTTCAAATCATCCAGCACACTGCAGAAGAAAGGCCTACCTACTGGGCTGAAAGTGTTCTGAAATGTTAATGTCTATATTACAAGAGCATAGAGAACACACAATATTTGTGTGGTTCTCTATTTTCTTTTAAACATTATCAAAGGGCCCAAAATAAGTATCATACTGTAGGAGAACATTATTTTTTCCTCATAAGTCACAAAATTTAAGGAATATGGCCACCTTCTTGTTTAGTCAGATGCTCTTATGTAAAAGTTTGTGAAGTCTAACACATACCTAGTAATCTAGAAGATACCATTAACAAGGTCGTTTCAGTCTCAGGATCACAAGGGAATATAGAATAATATCTCGATCAAATGAACCTATCCACTATAGGCTGCTTAAAGTTGTTATCTATAATGTGTTGATTATGAGAGTTTCTGAATTATAAAACTGACAGCAATTAATTCTTACCTTCTCCTTCTCTGATAATATATATGCACCAACCACTGAGCGATAAAAGGCCAAACAATAGCAAAAGTTAATGCACCAGGAGACATCTGGAAAGGCCACCAAGATGGTCTCTGAGAAAATAAAAAAGTTGATTATAAATCTAGCCTATATTGTATGTATAAGTATAAAAATTCACCACTATAAAAAGATATAATTAATAACAAATCCCACTTCTGCTAAAGGGAGGAAGATATTCTGCATTTCAAAGCATAATTTAATAAGCTCTGAAAGGTGGATTTCATTGGGAATGCCTTAAGGATCTCATATAATCTAAATTGAGTGAACTTATTTGAAACCTTAGCATTCAGGTTTAAGAAAAAATCTCTTACCGGTGAGGAGGGCTGGCTACTAGCCTGTAATGTTGATGATTTTGCCTATAAATAAAAACAAAACCAGTAAATTTTCCATTTCCTATATATTTTTGAATGGTTGAATTACTAGTTTATTCTCTATTTTTTGCAAACTCTGCTTCGATTATCCAGAAAACCAATCCAAACAAATGACAAGACCAGTAAGTACCTTTGGCACTCTATGTTTTTAGCTCAAATTATACAAAATTATCAAACTGCACACTCAAATTAATCTAATCTCTTATTGCGTTCATATTCTTATTAAATCTCCTACTCAATATTTCTTAATTAACCCCTTTATTTCCATAAAATCTACCAATTTACTATTTACATTTGAGAACTGTTATCTTGATTATTAAATAAAATCATAAAAATTATGTGTCACAATCTATTTAGGACCTTTATGACAAATTATAGTGGAGGGAATATAAAACTGACACATAAATGAATTATTAGTGCTGTAGGTTTTTAAACACAAAGTAGCACAAACAAAGCAGAAAATTTTCAAAATTAGAAATTCTGATTCCAATTTGTCTCATTCAAAACACAAGTAAGTCTTTGGTTTGTTATTAGAAACTTATTATTCCAGACGCACTACACGGACCCTATACAACAAAGATACAAGAGACCAAATGAAACAGAAAAATCCTGGAACCCTGAACTTCAGAGGACAGGTTAGAGAAATGGAATTGAGTGCTTGCTGGGAGAAGAAGCTGAGCAAGGACAGACAGAGAGGATGACTGACTGTGAAGGGCCAGCCAAATGTAGTGCCACCATCTTGAACGTTTGTGAGCAGCTTTGGTGACAGAGGTGGGCTGGCAGGGCAGATCCACACAAGTGACAGGAAAGATGCAATTCCTTCTTTTTGCCCCTGCTTCCCAGGTAACCAGAGGCAGGCCCAATCCCAGCACAGACCCTGCTTTCTAGGAGTTTGGAGCCACGTGGTTGGGAACCATGCCAGTGTGAAGCAGGTGCCTGGGTTCTGTTGGGATTCGTTCCAGATCTTTAGAATCCAAAGAGCCCCCAGGCCAGTTTAGCAGAAACCCTCAAAACCAGCCACCCTGCCTCCAGTGGCCTTGTAACAAGTCAAGAAACCAGCTTCATCAAGGGCCTCCATGAACTACTGAGTGCCCTGAACACACACAGCACCTATCCCTATGGGAACTCCATGTAGGGCCAGGAACTCTGCTATCACATTCCTCCCGCACCACCTCGTGAGTTCCTAGGTGGGCAGGAGGCCCCAGAGTTGTCTTCTTTCCGAGTGGAACACCTGCATTGGTTTCTTTTTTCAAATTTTGTTTTGTGTTTTTCCTTTCGTTATTTTGGTTTCATTTGTTTATTCTTTCTCCTCTTTCTATTTCCTTGAATTATATCATTTCTGTCTCTGCTTTTGTTTCCTTCTTTTCCTCTGTTTCTCATTTCCCCTAATATTCTTCGTCCTTTTCTCCCTCCTTTTATCTTTTTTACTAAACTCTACTCTGTTTTTCATCTTCCTTCTCCCTGGTTTTTCTAAGTAGTACTTTGTTGTTTTATACTTTCTTATTTTATTTTCTCTCTTATTTTTCTCTTCTATGACTCCATTTACCTGACCCTCTTTTCTTTTTTTATCATTAAATTCTTTTTTTCTTGCTGCTTGATTTTATTTTTTTTCCTTTACTATTTTCTCTTTTCATTGCTGGTTGCTTATTTATATTTGTTTTCTTGTATGTGTGTGTGGGGGGGGAGGAGGAGGACATTCTCTTCTTACCCACCTTATAGGAGACAGTGGATACCAACTGTTCCCTATATAGCCCAGCCACAACTGTACCCTCTGCAGCTCCACCAACTGGGCAAGAGCCAATGCCAGCTTCTATACCACCTGATAAACACTTACAGCCAACACCAGCCAAACCCACCCTAAATAGAGGTGCACGAACAGAGAAAGGTGCACGCACTCCTCTTTTGTAACTACACCCATAGAAGACAGTTAGTGAGAGCCTAAGAACACAGCAACATGCAATCATCAATTAAATACAAATACGACAACACCACAGTGTACCAGAGACAATTTTAGCTCAAAATGACCAAGATGCAGGGACAGAAAACATTTCTGAGGAATAAAACTATAGACTCTAGTCAACCTGGAGATGAGAGAGTAAAGAGGAAGAGCTGGTTGCTCCGAAGTACAATGAGACCTGGGGACTCCTGAGCCCATGGACAAGGACATAGCCACAGAGGCTAGACCAGAGAGTGAAGCATCCAGCTGATAAAGTGAAGGGAAATACACGAGAAGGCCCAAACTTGCAGATAGTGGCTATTTGACCTAGATTCAACCACTTGATGATCAGAACTCAACTAGAGGAAGATGAAAAAAAATTGACAAAGGAAACAAGTATAAATTGCTACAATTTGATGAACTTGACCTATACTTACAGATGTAGTAACTCAAAATACCAACTGAGACGGAAGGAGTCTTCACATCAATGATCAATCCTATCCCCTCTGTATACAGGATTGATATGGATGGGCAACTTAGACAATGACCACCTAAAATAGGGGAGGCTATAAACGCATGAAGTGACTGGCTTACAAGTTTTCAAGACAGAGTTTAGGTTCAGAGAGTGTGGGGGAAGGTAGAATCACCACTGAATTGTTTTCATCTTGCCATCTAGACAGGTCTGGTGAAAGGAGATGGGTATAAGAGTTGTATGATTCAATAGTGAGTAATTATTATCATGATTAATTACGACTGTCACAACTATAAAGATAGAAATTACGTAACAAAAATGGGGGAGTGATTAATCTTACAGTACAGAAACAGAGGACCTTAGGGCCATAAAAGGAGAAGAGCATAAGCTGAATGTGGGACCCTATCCAGAGAAGCAGCGACACCAGAGATGGAGGCAGAAATGATGACATGGAAAGGCAGAGCAGCGGAGGACTCTAGAGTCATGGAAAGAGAAAGGCTGTGTGCTGGTGGCCAGGAAGGCAGGTTTGCAGAATGTGCCCTTTGGTTGTTTAAATGATCATATATTCCTGAGTGTTTTGGTGTACATTCCCCCACAAAAACACACACACAACACACCAAACAAACAAAGCAGAGGGAATAGACGCAAATACTGTTGAATGATGATGCACAGAGTCAGGATTGTAATCATTGCAACAAAATGATGAGTGTAAAACCTGTGTTTTTACATGTAAACACTACTCAATTCACAATAAAAACTAAAAACAAAAAAGAGGTAACGGAACTAATTGACGGAAAGATTCAGGAAAGCAAGGAGAACACAGAAAAAACTTCAGGAAAACACAACAAGAACAAACAGACAAAATAAATGCAACTTTTGAAACAATAAAAAAAACCTACAATTAGAAATCCAGAAGATTAATATTAAGACTTCAGAAATGAACAAAACATTGAAAGGCAGAGGAATAGATTCAAAACAATGGAAGTCCAAACTAGTGAGCTTGAAGATAGATCTCTCAATACAAATATACTAGAAGAACAATCAGAAAAAGAATGAAAAAAATCCAAAGAAAGCCTAAGAGACATGTGGGACACCATGAAGAGAAATAACTTATGGGTGATCAGAATTCCAGAATAGAAGGGACAATAAAAAGCACAGAGAAGATCATGAAAGACCAGAATATAAGCATATAAGAAGGTGAACGAACCCCAAGCAGGATAAATCCCAGAAGAAAATCACCAAGACATATAACAAAACTTTCCAAAACCAATGACAAAAAAAGAATCCTGAGAGCAGCTCAGAAAAAAAAAAAAAAAAGTTACATAAAAACTAGAATCTGTAAGGCTAAAGGCAATGAGATGACATATACAAAACGCTGAAACAAAAAAGTTGCCAATCAAGAATCATATGCCCAGCAAAGCTGTCCCTCAAATATGATGATGAAATTAGGACACTTCCTGATACACAGAAACTAAAGGAATTTGTAATGACCAGACAACTTTACAAGAAAAATGAAAGGGTGTTCTTTTGGGCTGAGAACCAACAACAGCAGACAACAACCAAAGATTAACATACATGGCAACACCACCCAAAATTCAATCCAGATATAGAAGTATTTAAAGTAATACAAACTGACAAGACTGAAAATAGGGAATCACAGATATCAACTTATAATGATGTCAACTACAAAGTAAAAAGAGGGAGTAATGTAGGTACAGACCTTCCAAATGGTGAGTAAGCCAAGTATATTTCAAGATAAAACAGATGGTTTTAAATGGGGTGGGAGGGAGAGAACTATAAGGTAACCTCAAAGAAACAATATATTTTCACATCAAAGTTAAAAGGAGGAAAATATTTTCAAAAGTAAATATTAATACAGTGAAAAGAAACCCCACAAATAAAACGAACTCAACACAAGAAAATTATGTGGAACAGAGAAACCAGAAGTACCACAAACACAGCAAAATGACAGCAATCAAATCATATCTATCAATAATTACACTGAATGCAAACGGACAAACACACAATGGAATGCTACGCAACATTGAAGAATAATGATGAATCTGCAAAACACCTTACAACATGGATGAACCTCCAGAGGGCATTATGCTGAGTGAAATTAGTCATCAAAAGGACTCCTGGTGTGTGTGGTGCTATATATAGTATCAGTACAGGACTATGAATCACAAGACTGGCTGTTCAAACCCACCATCTGCTCCTTGGAAACCCTATAGAGGGTTGCTGTGAATCAGAACTGACTAAATGGCACTTAACAACAATAACAAAAATGACAAATATTGTATGAAATCACTGTTGTGAAAAGTTACTGTTTTCTTGATAAAGGAAACATTCTATTTTTGTTTCCAGGAGGAGGAGGGGAAAGGGAAAATTATTCACTGGCTAGAAGACAGACACATGTTAGTATAGTTGATAGGGCAGGCAACAGACAACAAGAGGGAGGTTACCAAAAGGAAGATGAAAGTAGTGGGAGACAAAGGAAGGAATGCAAGAGTTAAAGGGAATAATGGTAGATACTGTTACCTGCTGGTACAATCACTGTGATGAAGCTAAGTATAT